CCAGCACCCTGGCACTGCCTTGGAGGGTTTGAACCCCGACACCATCCCACATCATTTTTCAGCCTCCCCTCCTCTTCGAAACCTCATCACACAGCATAGCTCCCTTCACCAAGGTCCTGCTCCTCTCTGCCTTCCCCCATTCCCCTTTCTCTCCTCCCTGCACTCTACTCCTACCTCTTGTCTCGCCCCGTCATGGAGCCCATCTTCTCCTGAGCAAGTCCCACCATACCACCGGTAATTCCCAACACAAACCAAATGCAGCCACGCACCACTGTTTTGTGTTCATTGTTTGTGGTTTTTTTTTCATATTCTGCACAGTCTAGCAACTTGTGTCCGCCTCATCTAGTCAGACTATAAGCTCCTTGGGCCTAAAGCTGCGTTCATACAGGGCCTAGCGCAACAGTTCTCACTCGCAATCAGCTTCTTCCTGCGTTAGCCAGCGTAATAAAAACAGCATGTGTTGAGTAAGAGTGAATCGGTCTCTCCTGAAAGCATTTCAAAAACCCGGAGGAGTCTGACAGAAGGAAATAAAGAAAAAAAAAAGGGAGAGAAGAGGCAGGAGAGAAAGGAAACAAAATGGAGGAGATGGTTTCCACCAGAAGCAGCATTCCCTCTGAGGTGCAACACCCTCTCCTGTCACTGCCATCCTTCCCTGACAAGGTCAGGCTAGAAGCAGCATTCCTCTCCTTTATTCCTAAATAACACTCCTTTTCTTTTTCTTTTCTTTTTTTTTTTTTCCCTCCCTAGATTACTGTTAACATTTACTTCCTGCCAAGTCTGGCGCTTACATGCAAAAAGAAGTACCTTTATGGCACTCCCTTACTGACTGGAGTATCACAGGCCTGTGATCTTACTACATGTTTGCTGAGTGCTAAGTGGTATTTAAATAATTTTCACTTCTTTTCTTCATCTTCCCACCTGCCAGCAGCAGTCACAGCCTCAAAAATTATACTTCCTTCTTCATTTCAGGTCTGAAATAGTTCGTACTGCCTAACGTAACAAACTGTAACACCCTCACTGCTAAATACAGCATGACAATGAGGGGCCCATGTTGAGCCTTAAAAATACTAACCACCAAATGCACACTTTATTATTGTCGAATTATTACCTGAAGTGTAATTATTTTATTAAGACGTATAGTAAAAATGTTTGATTTTTAAATAGTGGAGAGGACCTCCCTTGCACACAGAGGAACATTTTTTGTTATAGGCGGAACAATGAAGTTCTGCTGAACTCTCTGCCTTATTTCTTTGGAGTACCTAAAACTACGTTTTAGTTGATAAACTGAAAGATTTAAGAAGTAGAGTATTTTCCCTTCCACTTTTATCAATACATGCATAATCCCCCTCTACTCTCTCAGTCATAGCTCTGGGAGTTTTTTTTTAGTTAAAAATGAACATCACAAAAAAAAAAAAGTCTCAAGTTGGGGAAGTGCTGAGCAACAACTCACAGGTGATTCAAACAGCTTTGGATGCAACTCAGTGGAAATTCAGGTACAGTTTACTAGTGGCTCGAATGCCAAATAAAAACGAAGACGACTCCTGGGCAGGAAGACTTTGAAAATATTTAAAAGCTGCTCTTAACAGAGCGAATGTGGTCTGAGCCATCATTTCCCACATGGCCGTCACACAAAGCATATATACATCACGCATGTATCTTTGTATGACAGGTACCATGCGGTACACTGCCTATGTGACTCTAGAAAACTGATTTTTACCCTCCTTCCAACAAGACGGAAAGCATTTTGTAACCAGCTAGCTTACCCCCTGGCAGCTGATAAGCTGGCTTTGCAAACACTACCCCTGCACCTGAGAAGTCATTATATTATTCTACGTACACAGCAGAGACAAATTACCCATGTGTTAAGAGCAAAGTGCCTACCCTGGAGGCTGTCAACCCCATTTCACACGCAAGGTGCAATTCTTGCTCTTCTCCCAGTAAGCTCCATCAGTACTTCCCAGCCCCACTGACCCTCAGCCGCAACATCTGTTGGCCATAGGTAACCACGGTGGTGCATTGCCCACTTCCCTGGTGCAAGACACTGTGTGTCAACAAGACTACTCAGATTATTAAGAATTAAATGCACAAAGAAGTACTTTCAGCTGAGTCAAGGCCACAACATTCAATACTTGGCAGTCTCAAGGCCCTTTTCTGACCCAGGATAACACAGTAACGTGTCAAAGAGGGGGAGAAAAGTAAAGAGATGAAAGTAAAAAAAAAAAAAATATAGGTATTATATAACGTTATGAGTAGCACAAGTTTTTCCTGACCACAGCCTGAGTAAAAATAACACCGTAGAAGGCATGTCAGGAACAGGAACCGAGAGTGCTGGTTGCTCGCCTCCACAGGGGAGGGTTGCTGTCCGTGGGGCTGGAGTGTAGCTTTCGACAAAAAGCTTTGTCGAAAAGCTTCACCAGCAAGAATAACTACAAAAAGCCGCAGCAGAGGATAGCAAACCGCAGCACTTCTAGGACAAAATGTGCTTCAAGGCCATACCAGAACACTTGATTTTAGCAGGAGCGTACATCAGGGCAGAATTTGGCCTGTATGCTGCACACCTTAAGTTTCTGTTCATGGGGAAGGGAAAGAAAGCTTCTCGAGTTAAAGCAGCAATCTGCAGAAGAGTAAAACTAATCCTACAGCCTGCGGGACAGAAGGATCCCAGTCCCTTAGAAAACAATATAAGGGCAGTATGAGTAAATCTGCATACCAAAAAGACAAAATTGAGAAACTTAAGTCTTGAACATTCACTTATGAAAACTGCTTTTAAAAAAAAAGAAAAAAAAAACAAACCAAAAACAAACCAAAAAAACAACTTTCTTTTGAATCCAGAAAATCTCTGTCACTTGTAAAAAATGTTCACTTCATTGACACAGTGATTTTATTTAAATAAATTCTATTAAGAAGCAAGGGTAACATTTCTTTTGGTCATAAGATTAAAATGTTTCTTATTAGCCAGTTAACAAATTGATTAGCTCTTCAGCTGTAACATTAGCAAACATAAAATGCAGCAGCCGCCCTCCTGGCCCATCAATGCAACCACATCCCTTTTCCAAGATGCACCTTTATTTAGGCCCATCAGTTTGCTGCTTCTTCACAGTTAAAGAGGATAAAGACCAATTTGGCACCCAAAGAAATGAGTTTCCAGGTGTTGGCTAGTGACACCGGTTAAGCCTTTAACTCTCACCTTTCACTCCTGCAACAAGGGCTCAGAGCTTGAGTTGAGGCAAGAAACAGGACAGGCAAAGAGATGAGATGGCTCCTCTTGTTAGAAATAAAGTGCTTAATACGGAGAGTGCATAAGAACAGTTTTCCTATTCGAACATTACGTGAAAATGTGTTTCGGTGTTTTCAGCCCGTCTCCACCGAGTTTCCATAAAGGCACTGTACATTACACCAGTAAAACATGGCAGCCCCATTTAACTCCAGGCAAAGCTGCAGTTTTATCACTGCATCTTGTGTCAACTGTACAGAGGTGTTTTCAGGTGGCAGCGGATGGATTTTCACACACAGTAAGTATGTGTGCTTCATAAGAACTTTGTTTAAGTGTCCACAATCCAACAGCAGATGGGAAAGCCAAATTTTGAGCCTTTTAAATAGGCAAGTAGTCATAGTGAAAATATTTACATCAGCTTGTCACTAGGACTTTTTGGAGTTGTAGTTTATGGAAAGGGCAAGAAAGCATAAAAAAAGTGAGTTCTTGGTTTAATTTACATTTCTGTTCTAGTGTGCACCCAATTTGTTCATCGGGGACTTGACCCAAGTTGTAGCAAAATCAAGTTTAGGACCGTTCTTGTAAGTTTTAAGGACAAACAGACGGGTTTAATTTTTTACAATTTCAATCCTTTGGAACTCTCTTCCCTCTACGCCTTGCATTTTGAAAGTTACATAGCCAAGCAGGGTCGGCCCCAACTTTAGTTGTCCTAAAACCATGGGACTTTCATGAAAGAAGCTTAAGGACAAAAAAAAATACATCCAGCATTGCTTCAAAGCTTTATGAAAAACATGTAACTATTAATACACAATTCTGGAAAATGTTGCTTTGCTGCTGCAAGGTCTGTAGCCAGTGGAGAAAGCACAACATTATATAAAATCCTGAAAGGACACAGCTAATTGAATAAACCCACCCTCTTCCACAATGGTGCAGATTACTTCATCGGCGATGGTCTTGAAAACGAGTTTAACTCTACAGATAACTATGTTCTTCACAACAAAAGGAATGAAAATGAGAGGAAAACGTTATTGTTCGCCAAACAGAAAACAAACAAAAAACCAGCGCAAGGCTAGTAAGGAAAGAATGGTTAATCTCACATTTCTAAGAGGGTGTTATAAACAAAGAATGGTGAACAACAAAAATAAAATATTAAAAAAAAAAAGATACAAAAGTGCTTAATGGTGTTCTTTTAAATATTTACTTTGCTGCTATTTGGAGAATAATTTGTTCCATTTAGTAGTGTTGGGCTCAAAGGACCGCTTTAATCCAGAGAGATTAATTATAGCCTTTGGAGTTATAAACACAATTTGGGAAGCGAAACAGAGAAGAGGAGAGAGACGCCTCTCACGCCGGCGATTAACAAGTTTACGCGCTTTGGGGCTACACCACACAGACTGTGCCCCTGCACGCTACAGGCAGAACAGTGCACAGGACGCCCATAAATCGGGGAAAAAACAGCCCCTGAGATGATCAGGGAAGACACTACCCTACCCTACAGCGTTTCTATAGGCAACTAAGATACATCTCAAGTGTCCTTCACCGAAATACACCGAAAGTTCACCTGCACCTTATGAAGACGTCCTCTGATCTTGTTTTTATTACCTGCATCAGAAACAACGAGTCGCCATGCCAAGACAAGCAGCAGCGGGCACGGGACCCCATCCACACTGCCTTTAAACCTCTCCCGTGCTTTCACGCATCTCTCCCTCTGCTCATCGCCGTGTCCTGCACCGGGAGATGCAGGGACTGGCGACAGCGAGCAGGGCAAGGCTGGGAGCGATCTTACCTAGCGAGGGGTTGGCTGCTCCCTCCTCCGAGCTCTCCTCAGCCCCCTCCTCCCCCAGGCCAGAGGTGGCCGAGTCCTCCAGGGCGGACGCGGAGCCCGGGGTGCTGGGCCCGCTGACGGACCCCGAGTCCCCTTCCTCACTGCTGGAGCCGTAGCGGTCAGGCTGGGCGGCCGTCCCACCCTCGCTGCAGCTCCTCCGCTCCTTGCGGTGCACCCGGGAGTGCAGCACCATTTGGTGGTAGGTGCGGAAGATCTTCCCGCACTCAAAGCACTCGGTGGAC